TAATTTTTTCTTTTTAGTTAAAGTTAGTCGAATCAACCCGATTAGAACATCATAAGTTGATAATTATTATAATTATGATCTTATAAAATCATAAGGTATCTAACCTTTCTCCTATACTAATATAAACTATGTTTAAAAATACAAACTGATCCACCTGTCCCTTCTTCATTTTGAATTGCTTTTTGAAGCTAATAGTACATTTTATTACGTATGAGAATAATAATTATAGTTACTTAAATCAGTCACCTTTTTCATGTATCTCACTCGACTCCTGTGTATCACCCTATATTTCGCACTATTTTTATTTTTTATGTATTATTTGTTATAGCAGATATACCATTGTGTTCGGTGTTTGAACTTACTTGAAATACTTGAAAACAAATATCTTTTTTCTATTTAAATATTGTGCCACTTCAAATTCGTCTGTAACCAAATATTGATTGTGGGTTTTTACTTCTTCATATTTTATTATAATATAACTATGTTTGATTGAAATATGCTCTGATTTCAAAACACATAATTTCAATCATATTAATCAATGACATCATTGTAACAAGTGACCTACTAACCACAGTATAAAATTATTTAAACATATATCTTGTTGTGCAATCAAGAATGTTTTTATTCCATATGCGTTGGTCCTGGAAATTGCATTTAAAAAGAACAGAATATTAACCGGATTAATAAATATGATTTTTTTTACGTGTTGTATTGTAATACAGAAATATATAATTTAATATTATATAATACACAGTAAATACCTACTAAACCAATATTATATTGCCACGATTTTTTTATTCGCGAAAGTAGTAATATATTAATTTAAAAACTTAACCTTATCGCTACATATATTTAATATTGAAAAAAAAAATGGTTTTAAATGTTGAGATATATTTTTACTTAGAGTTTTCTTATAAATCATGACATTTTTATCCAGATTATCACGGGCTACAACTCGTTTGCGCACATTTACCTTTTTTATAACTCGTTTGCGCAAAAATGTACAACCCGATTGCGCACATATATTTTGGCTACCTGTGACGAAAATCCCTAGTGTCAAAACTTGTTTGCTTATTATCGTTGATTATTATACTCCTCGTAATTGTGAAAGTTGGTTACTTTTATTATTTTGTTTAATTAACAATAACACTCGCAGGACATTTTTTCTTAGTGCATCTAAAATTTGAACATCCACTCATTAAAACACGGTATTTACAAAATTTATAATTATCAATATTAAAACATTGTTTTCCTCAACGAGATTCAAAATTATTAGAAATTTCTACGTCATATTAAAGTTTACGTCGTCAACACAATAGTCACCACTATACCGTCCATATCCATAGTCCATAACTACTGAAACTTAACGTGTCATGTGTGTGAATGTGTCGTTGTGTGCAAACGAGTTATTTATTTTCAGGTAAATGACTGATTTCGTTGTGCGCAAACGAATTGTTAATTTTCAGGTAAAAAATTTTGAATGTGCGTAAACGAGATGCAGTGTTATCACTTTTCAATTTTGTTAAACACAATAATAATATCGTACCACATCAATTTCCTATACATACGACTGGTTGAGAATGGCTGGTCAAATGGATCAACTATCACTAAAAAGAAATCTACAAATAAGTCATGAGGTAAATTATACTACGTAGTGTAGTAATCCAGGTTAGAATAATCCGGCTCACTACAGTAGATACCAAGATAGATTTTAAATTGTTATAGATTCGGAAAATGTATTATTTATTATTTTTTAAATTTAAATTTAGCAGCTAAGAATTTTATTTTGAAATATAGTAATATATTTGTAGTGTATATCATATTTACATACGTGATAATTTGCTATGGTTATAATATGTAAATGTTATTAAAAAAAAAAAAAAAAAAAACTAAAATTAATAACTTTACTCGTATATTTATTTTATCATATATAAAATAATTATTTATTTATTTTAATAATGATTACTTTTGCACTTAAATACTTAATTTTTTTTAATTTTCTGTATTTTAAAGTAATGTTTGTAATATATATTATCATTTACCATAGGTTATATATTTAACTGTCAACATAAAAACTTGGTGCCATTTATCGTTTTTTCTTTTTATTGGTGGACGCAGTTTGTGGCTAAAAGTTTTTGGTCTCTTTTTTACGGTCTTAAAGGGAGTCGTTTGTTCCAGTAATAAATCTATAAAGGAAAGAAGTTGTAATGTATATATATATATATAT